CACCCCTCTATCGAAGCGGTCTGCTTTTTTTGCGCCAGGGTTGTGGTGGGCCCCACCGCGCGCTGGTGCACACATGTGCACACGCTGCTCTGCTTTGAGGCGGCAACCCATCCGCGCAATCGAGGGCGGCTGGTGTCTGGTGGAAGCAAATCCTCAAACAGCAAAGTTATCGCACTGCCACAAGGAGCAAGTTGCACAAACGCATAGCGACTCGATGCTGAATCCGACCCCCTTGGTATAGCATAGAAGCTGTGACCTGGCTCGCCCCAAGTCTCGGCGAGTTGTAGGGATCCCGCTAGTTTGTTGGCAATGATGCGCACACGCACCTTTGGCTTGCCTGCAAGCCTCAGCAATCAATGATAGGCTATCTTGGCCTTGAGACCGAATTTTGCTGCCGAAGTTGCTCGCGTGCAATGTATTCCAACCTCAGTAGTGACTCAGTGTGGCGTGCTTCAGAATGAAGCATAATGAAACCAAAGCTGACTGAGCGACCACTGTTTAGCCAACTGCAGTTAGGACACAAAGTGAAGGATGGGCCGAAATCAAAAACGTCGACCACTGCGAAGATGCAGGCCTCAGTCACCTCACACAAAGCAGAACCAAAAACACACGAAAGCCTGTAACACACGGGGAAGCATTTGCGTGGAGATTGGGCAGCCGCCAAACTGGATAGTCCAGAACAACAACAACAGGCACTGTCAGGTTTCGTAGGCATCCCAGTAGGCATCCCTTCCCCTCCTGATCGACATGGAGAAGCCCGAATTGTCGTGTTGAGAAGCTTTGCTTGCCTGCGTTCTCTTTCGCAATAAATATCGGCATGCTGGCACTTCTGCCTGCTACTTCCTGAGAATGGTATACCCGGACTGCAAGTGCCTCGGAAGCCCTCGTCAACCTTGTTAGTGCCAACGTACCGCAGCACCCAGCAAAGATCAACACGGAGAGTGGCAGCATGGATTTTGATGAGACCCTGATTCTGCAGTTCGCTGCACCTGCTCATGCTTGGAAAGTGCAGGAGTGAAGAGACAGGAAGTGCCGGAGACGGATAGACGGCAAATGAAATTTTGCAGCCATCGAGCCCTGAAAACTTTCTGGAACATCGGCTTTCTCCCGAAAAGTCTCTCCTCCTTCCTCCGTCCCGTCGTCGCATGGCCAGTAAGCCTGAACCGCCGCCGGTGAAGGTCGGAGCCCTGGACCCGATGCCCTGATGCCCTGAGCTTCTCTTTGGTTCGCAAGTCAAAAACCCGGACTGCAAGATCGATAACTTGATCACTGCAGTGTCGACCCTGTTTGGAATGTGAGCTGGAACTTCGGATGGTGGCTTGCAGGCAGGCCCCTTGTATCTTGGCTCGCTGCTGGTGCCAATGTCCGGCTTAGCAGCTTCTCCTTGGAAGCGGAGAGCTGCACTTCTAGTCACTACGAAGATAAAGGCCCTCTTGCAGCTGGTTCTCAAAAGCTTCTGCTGTCAGCTCATCGGATGCGCGTGATGGGCTGCCTCATTAGGAAAGTCGCCAAGCCGTTGACGTTGGTGAGACTGCGGATTGGCTGCCTGCACCTCCATAAGCCGGTCTCAGGACATCGTCGCAGTCGTTGTACTGCCAGAGGCCTGACGCGACACGACGGATGCTTCGGATGCGAGGCGACGAACTGGTCCCCGGCCCCAACACCGCATGCATACGTTCTGTCCTGAAAAGCCGGGAAGGAGAATGCACACTCAATCATCGTGAGTCCGCAGGGGTTTGCTGAGTGTGCGCACGCGACTCCCTTGCGAGCTTCTTCGCCGAAAGCCTGCTGGCGGCAATATTATGCACTCCGAGAAGTCTTACATGTAGCCTGGAATGGACATTGCAATGATTGCAGGGCGCACCCATCTGTAAGGGGAGCGACTAACTGTGTCATGGCCTCAGTCTACTGGAAGCTGCCAATGAATCTGCGAGGCTACTGCCTGGAAGCTTGGAGTGCACAATCCAGCGCTTCACTGAGGTCACAGCGCCTCGCACGACGCCTCGATCAAAAACCCAACCTGGAACCAGAAGCTCTGGAGCCGTATGACGAATATCGACGTCAGCTGCGCCTCTTCCGTCTTCTAAGCGAAAGTAAGTGCGGGAGTCAGCCTAAGAATCGTCGGAAAAAAATCACTACAATCGACTCAAACAAAACATCGAAGCAGCGCGACGATCCGATCTCCTCACCATGTGCGAGGTGTGTTGAGACATGATAAGGGTGCGGCACTTCTCAAGATTTCTGAAACTTGGAACTGCTCGCCAAACCTGGACAGGCATGCATCAGCCGAGTAACTCTGAGTAGACGACCCCTCTCGCAGAGTCTGGCTTGTCGTTAGCACTTCGGCTCGCAAAGGCGAGACAGTCGTCACGAATGCTGCGGACATGACATGCTTCAATCAAAGCAGTTGGAAGTTACAGCGAAGGCAGCTTGCTAGCCCCCGTCACGGTGCCGGAACCAAATTCATGGTAGTTTCTGCCGGCCGTATTATTGCAAAACCTACCAGTACTAGGTGCATCCCGTGTATACACCACTGTGGACCCGACGCCAAGCTCTCTCCAGTGCGTGGTGCGTTCACATCAGGTTCCTGGCATAGTCATTGCAGCCACGGCTTTTTATCAAAGTTTTTTGACCGTGTACATGTAACACTGGGTCCTGGCGAATATCCAGGAAAACGTTTGCAACCACCTTGAAGTGCCTCTGTGCCGACTTCGTGGGTAGCTCCTTAGCAACCAAAACAGAATGCCGCAGCATCAGGTCTACATGTGCAAGCCGGCACCAAAAGATGAAGCCCACGGCAACAGCATCTGAATTGATCGGAAAGAGCTGCGCGCATTCAGTGTGCCTTGATTTCCACAAATGGGTGGCGGGCAGGGGATTGAGTACCGATTAGTTGTGAGGAATCGACGAAGTGGAATCGACGAAGTGGAACGGATCCCGTCAATGCGAACCCCCCCATGCTCTACTGATCGTGGGCTGGCCGGGGTGTCTTGTCGGGCAACTCGGACTGGGGTGGAATTGGCTGATAGCAAATTCTGGCATGTCATTTGGTTTATGCCGCTATCCCTTGCGCTCTTCTGCGAGCTTGGGCCGGCAGGCCAGTGGCGACTGAGATGATGCCGGTACTGATCCGGCTGCTTGTTTCGTATCTACATTGGGCTCGGAGACGCTGCGCATCCTGCTTTGTCATCTTTATCGTAGGATGTTGAAGCTACTAGTATCGTGGCTGAGCGTCCACCGAAGCCTTGCCGAAAAGTCTACTACGAGCATCTCAGAGCGGCATACACAGTTTTGCGGACTTGCAAGAGCGGGGCTGAGGCGGAATCGGAGAATAAGAGAGTCATGGATCCTATTGACAAACCGCGCCAAAGCCGTCAAGTGAAAAACGACTGCAAACATGGCCCTTTGTGTTGCCATTTCACGCGCTCGTCTTATGTGGAAGCTTGGCCGGTGCATCCCACGTTGTAAGCGCTTGCCTGTGCCTTGCATGATGCCGCAGAAGTCACCACGCGAAACCGCATGATGGTAAATCCAATATGACCGTGTGACAAACGACCCTGCCAAGTACAGTACTCATCTCGAGGAGCTCTCCAAACCCAAGCATGCAAAGTGGTGATTGTGACATTTGCCACTTGAACAGCGGTGCATCCTAAATGCCAAATAAACCAGAAGTAATTGTGAACACATAAAGGCAAGTCTCGAAGGAACTTCGCTCCGTTGCACCATCATCCTGGCACGGCCATATGGCATGCAAGCGCGAGAAAGTATTGCTTAGAGATGACCAGAACACTCGGTTTTCCTTCATCAGCAGCGCCACTTCGTCCTCTGCATTGAGAGGCTTTGCAGTCTCATCCTCGTCCTCCTTGCGTCATTGAATAGTTTTTCCTTTGTGCTGTCGTGGGCCCGGGGAGGTTGCTAGCCCCTAGTACGATTTCAGGCACTCTCTTTGCAAGGCGGCCTCTTGCACCATCTTCTCTGGTGGTATATATCCCAAGGCCTGAGACCGGCTGCAACGCAAGTTTGGATGACTGTCCTTCAAGGCCCTGCCAATATGCTGGTGTGAGCAGGGTGCCGGAGTGACCGATCTCTTTGGCCGTGTTTGCTCGTGCCGGTGGGCTTTATTCGGGCTTGCTGTTCGGGTGTGGGGGTGGAAAGGCAGCACTGCAAGCACACCCTGTCAAGCAACATGCAGTATGCGGTCAGGCTACAACGATACCAGGGCACTGCGCTGGTTAAATGTTTGGGCTTCTTGTCGCGGCTCTGTCTATGCAATTTGTAGAAGCCGCGATTCAGTGCGGCGTCGTCCATCACACACAGTCTGGCATGGCACGCAGGGCAATATTTGCAAATGATTTAGCTTAAGGGTTTCCGTCCACGTTGGAACTTGGCGCAGGTGGGAAAGAACAGCACAGCCTCGCTCGGACTGTCTGGTATAAAGTTTTCCTACTGCTCATCCTCGTGAGTGGTATCGACTCGTTCCTGCTGATGTGGGCGTGCCTGCTTTTGCTCTAGCAGTGTGGCAGCTGCATCTTCCTCTTCGGCTTCAGAAGGGCTTAAGCGCGGAGGGAAAACTGTCCTTTCTACAAGCTTCCACAAAGCATGGAGACATCCAGCAGGTCCTGCCACATGCACAACCAAAAACAACGTATCTGAGTTCCCGTCCGTGGGGTCGGTGCACTGAAGTTTCACTCCACATCCGGGACAATGGCCGGCATCCAACTGGAGCACGAAGCCTTCCTGTCGGTCCTTGAGCTTTTGAGATCGCAGCTGGCCGAACGGCCGAAGCCTGACAAGCTTCATTGTGTGACGTGAGAAGAAAGCTTGCCCTGACTCTGCGAGATCGTCGATTGTCTTGGAGCTGCTTGCCTAGTTAAGCTATGCAAAGCACACACACACACACACATTTTTGGTCGACTTCTCTCTGGAGTAGCGGATCCAGAAGGCTATCATGCAGCTTGCTGCCGCTCATTGGTTATGGAGGCGGCGCTTCGTCGTCTGACCTCAGCTGGTCAATCTGCGTAGCTTGCTTGATCAACGGACATGTGGAACACAAAGCCTCAGGGGCGCCGCCGTCTGGAACGAAGTGCTTGCCGTTGTAGCAGGTGCAGGACTCTGGTGCCATCAGTCGGACTCAAGATTCACTATAGCCCCTTCTCCGTACAAGTCGAAGAGCTTCTTGAGGCTGTCTGGTGTGATGCTCTCGCCGTCCTTGCTGAAAGCAACATGTAGATGAACATCAGGCAACTCCGAAATCCCCCTGGCTCTCGCCCAAGCGGCTGCAAGATTCCTGCAAGGACGATGTGAAAGAGCCTCTGCTTGATCGTGGACGATGTCGTGCTGCTGCCCGGGTGCACCAGACGAGCTCGCGAGCCCGGCAAGAACTCTACGCAGGCCTTCTTCCGACAAAGAGCATCCCGTAAGGTCTAAGCACAACTGACAATCTTGCATGCATTGCCGGGTGGTCAGTGCAGCGACAAGGTCCGTGTTGGTACATGTGACATTGCTCCTGTGACAGTTCAAACTCAAGAGAGTCAGTTGGTGTGCCTGTCTCAGAAGTTGTGCCAGGTCAGCATCGTGAATTCTTGTCTCGCTCAAATCCAGCTTCAGAGTAGACGAGTGCGAAGTCCAGTTGGTCAAGCCGCATGCCCCAACATCTTCCACCTCGCAACCAGCGATGCCGAGAGACAGGTGCGACAAAGACTCCGGCAGCTTTTCCATCAGGGCCAATACGCCCTCACTGCACACCTGGCAGCCGGACACGTCCAAGCCCAAAGTTTGAAGTCGAGGCAGTCTTCCAGCCATGGAGGCAACACCGGCATTGGTCACACCCGTGCCAATCAACGTCAAGTCAAGCTGCTCCAGGTCAACGGGCAAACTGCAGCCCAAGGAATGTAGCATGTTTTCACCAACACCACTTCCGGAGAAGTTGAGCACCAAGCGTTTCAGGGTCGGGCAAAATGCAGTCGGAATCCGAAAATCCACAATGGGACAACCAAAAGCGCCTATCTTCAAGTAATGCAAGCTTGGCAGCCCTGCACACTTTGTCAGCAGCGCGATTGCAGCCCGAGCTGTTAAGTGGCATCCTCCGAAGTCCAAGACCAGACTGCGTAAAGAGGGCGGTAGATGCCGCGCTATGCGTTCAGCTCCTTCATCTCGAATACCACAGCCACCGAAGTCAAAGACTAGATCTTCCAGGCAGGGCAGGTGGGCAACTCCAGCTGAAAGTGTCACGGCCCCACCCTCATGCAATGGGCAATCACGAAGGTCCAGGGTCAAACTGACCAGCGTTTGCGGAAGTGCATCAGCGAGTGCGGCGCAGCCATCCTTTTGGAGTTTGCACTGTCCGAAAAATAGCCGAAGCTCAATCAAGGTAGAGGGCAGAGCAGTGGCGATTGCCACGGCTCCACGGTCAGTCAAGCCGGACCCTGCCAGATCCAAACAAAGCTTCCTGGCTGAGGTCGGAAGACGGTCCAGCAGCTGTGCCAAAGTACGTGGTCCAAGCCGCTTATGTCTCGAGCAGCTATCGCGCTGCAGCAGGCGCAGTTGCACCCCTTAGCTTGGTCCGTCTGGCACATGCCGGTGCTTGAAATTTCTTGCCTGCAGCAATTTCATGCAACCAAGTTCCTGAAGCAAAAATTGGGCCCCAAACATCGAGACGGCCCCACCGTGCTCGCCAGGTTCTGAATGATCACGAACCGCGAAACACAGTGAGGCATGCCTAGTACTTGCAGTTGCCGCATCTGTGGAATCCGAACCTTTTTACCCTTGATTGCATGTGTTTCTACGCACAGCAGCACAACTCCTCATCGCAACAGCAACTCTATATGCGTAAACTGGACGGCGCCACATCACGTCGCCCCGCAGTGGAGGAAATCTTGCACCGCCCAGATGTTGACTCATGATATCGCCGATCACCAAAACCCCGGACCCCTGTTTAATATTGATGATACTCTGCCATGTGGAACCCACGGCCCTGCCCAGGACTGGACATCAATGTTAAACAGGGGGTTCGGGGTATTCGCATTGTTGGTCTACTCAAAAATGCGTTCGGCCACTACTCAGGTCATCTCAGGTCTGCATGCCACGAGAAACAAGACCTTCCCTTTTGAAGGATTACCGAGGACTGCGCCGGACACAAAGATTGTCCGGCCGAAAGCGCAGCGAGGGAAGGATCCAGACTGATCAGCAGCAGCAGCATGCCTCTGCTTTCTGTTGAGCGTGCCGGGTGTGCGCCTGTTGCCGGCTACATTATAGCATCAACCCTGCTTGCACGGTGGGCACAGCCAAATGTAAAACTAAGCCTTGAGTGATGTGGCTCTACCAAAAAACAAATGGCACACATCACACAATCATTTGTCGGGTGCAGCGAAATCAAATTCACACTGCCAGAGACAAGGCAGAAATGATACAACCAATTTAACTTGGGGCAAGATTAACCAGTCAAATCTCAAGTCCTCAATGCGGAGTGTGGGAGTTCAGGGGCGAAGCCGTGCTGGAGCGGTCCTCGCGAAGTTGCGAGAAGCACTGCACCGAGATGCAGTCAGCCAACCGCCGGAAGAACCTCTTTGCTCGATTAAGAGCGATCACAAACACTGAGGAAGGGGTCTGGCCTTGCCAGTTTGACAGCACCGTGTGATTTCTAGATTTCGAATGATGTGACAGCAGCTTCCAAGGAAGTGGTTCGCTCTTCCCTTGTTTTGGCTCGCAGACGCTTACTTGCCCGCTGACTGACAAGAACACCAGCATCGAGTCTGCCTGTGAGAGCCTTGAGCTTGGCGGCAGTGGAAACTGCCAGGGCAGACTCTTGGCATAATATTGGCAGGTCACACTGCAATGAACTAAGCCAATACAGTTGAAGCTGGGCCGAAGTGCTACTTTACAAGGGCTGCAAACAAACCGCTGTCCCTTGCTATGCTTGTTTTTGCCAGCGCATGGATTACTGTAGTGCGTTTCTGCTGTTTTCGGGGTTTGCTCTTCCGGTCTTTGGGGGGGGGGGGGGTGATAGCGTCCAGTTTGCAACCATCATCATGCTACTTAGCTACTTCCTGTGTCGCAGAGGAATTCCTCGGTATTTACGGGCTCTGGCGCGTTTTAAGCGAGCATGTGTGCGAAGAAATCTGCAGACTCCTTCAAGCATCTTCCCCCTAAGACACTCCACACAACAGTGACTACATAGTCCCCCAGCCCGAAAACAAGACCCAATACATAATAATCCGTCCCCGTCGAAAACCACGAGTTTCAAGTTTAAAACGCGACAGAGCCTGTAAATACCGAGGAATTCCTAATCTGTACTGTCCGATGTGGCATTTATTTTTTGTTCCGCGAAATCGTGCTGATACCGCACGTTTGCTAGCACTCAAGCATAACGTAGCACTTTTTTTACTACCCAAAACAACCTTAAAATGTGCTTAAGACTGTGGTGAGAACACAATTCACCAACAAAAATCAACGACAAAAAACCATGCGGCGGGTTCCTCGAATGGCCAGGACCTACTAGTTGTGCTGTTGCTTCCAAATGTCCGACACAACGTGCAAACTCAGAGTCTCCAACCAGGTTCGAAACCGGTCTTAAGTCGTGCTTGGCTTTCCAGTCCTGGAAACTCCTCTCCATCGGAGCACGTCCAAGCCAGCAAACGGGGCGATACCTGAAAATCTCGAATGATCTTCTGAAGCCGAAAGTCATGTCAAGCACGACCGTGGAGACATCAAGTAAGGTCCGTGCAAGCGTCTGATCCGTAAATGGAATCGAAAGTTGCGGCCCCGGCTAGCTGCATTCGAACGCCACGCAGCTATGAGGCAGGATGTCGGGTCGAGCACAGCATGGGCCCGAAGGCCCAACCGCTGGGACTCTGCTCGAGCCAGGCTGAGTCAAGCTGAGCGCAAGGTGCAAGATCAGAACAAGGCGCTACAGTAAGTTTCTAATGCAGCAGCCTTCCTTCCTCCATCGGGACATCCTCATCGAACATTGAATCGTATCCTTGGCGGACAGTTGAACTTACTGCAGGCCTATTGTAACTTATGTCGATACGCATTCTGTGAATTTCTGCGCCCGTCCCCGCTGCACCCCCACGACGATGCATTTTGGCACTCACGGTCATCCAGATTTCATCACCCTCGATGTCCCAGCAAAGCCCCTCGTCACTTCACTCACTTCACCAGGACAAACGTACAGCAATGAACGAAAAGCACAAGATCGACTGGGCCTGTCAGCCCGCCAGACCAGTCGCTCAGCCCAAAACCCAAAACAGAGAGGGCCTTGCCGAATAGGGTAATTTCCAACATTGGCATTTTCTGTTCGGTTTTACTGTCTGTTGTTTTTGGTGTGCGTGCTTAGCGGAAAGTAACTGGCAAAAGCATGAGCCGGGTCCTAACTCGTGCTAAGCTTTTTTTTAATGGGGAACTCTAACTGCGGTTTACTGTCTTGCTTCAAGCTATTGGGAGATTCCAACTTGTTCAGTTCTGTTTGCTGACTGCTACTGGTGCTTTCCCAGTTGTTGCTCCGATGTTGTGGGCTTGGGCTGGCTTGGTTTGTCCTCTTGCACGACAAAATTTGAAACCCTTGTCCATAAACTGAGGATTACACCCATGTAATGTACCCGCGCGATGCCTCCCCCAACTTTGATGACCTGCAAAGTCGAATCATCCCAGGCCGAGACTTGGAACAGTGCTCATGCCTCTTTGTGCAATTCCCTAGATCGTCATACGTCATTGCATTGGCAAGTGCAGTTGGAAGACACGGAGTGCCTGAGCTTCACCTCGGTCATGCGTAAGCGGTGGGCATCTGTAATTCAATGGTATGAGCTCCTTGCGCCAACGCTTGGATGGAGCAAGAACTTCGACACGCTTCCCCTTCTTGCAGAAGTCTTCGGGCTGCACAGCAGGTACACGGAAATCGTGGGAAAGCATGGATGGCGAAATCAGCCTGTAAAGTTTGCCGCGCCTTGTCGTCAGGCTGGGACTGGTCCTGTGCAAGTCCACTCTGTCTGACAGTTGCTGCTGGAGGCTCCAGCTAGACCCGGCTTATGGGCGTGTGTCTGTGTGGCTGATGCAAAAGCATTAAAGCCTCCGAAGCCCCGTCTTCGTGCCAACATAAGAGGTTGCGGACTATAGACTCTGTTTCGGCCGAGTGCCGTGAAATCACAGGCTTTCTCAACTGTAAGCAATTTGACGATCTTGAGCATCCAGACGTGGCTGTGCTCCTTGATGGTTACATCAGCAACGGCTTTGAGCTGTAGGTAGCCTCGACAGACTTGCTTGCACGCTTTGCTTGTTGCATATTCCATTGCTTTAGCACCGTGCCTCGCAGGTCAGTCTGCCTGCGCCACCTGAGAAAAGCCAAAAGCAATGTGTCCAATGTCGAAATCTGGAAATTGCAATACCAAGTATGAACTCCCGTATCATCGTCATCCGGCCTACTCGATGCCGAGAGGTGGGGGACTCTGCTGGCCATATTCTGCGGGTTGACACTCTGATTCTGCTCCAGGTGGGCAAGACAGGGTCCTTCGTCCCATCCTACACTGAAAGTTGTTGTTTTTCGGCATACGGTAAGTGGCACTCCGTCGAAGTGCCTCTGCACTACTCCATTTCCCGGAAAAGCTCAGCCGTTCCCACGGTGGAAGCATTCAGGGTGGTTGTCGCAGCATTGGTGACATCTTTTGAAATCTAGGCCCAAGCATGCGTGCCATCTCCATCGCATCGAAGGTCGTACAGTAGTTGCTTAACGTCGGTCGTCTCGGTGTGACCTAGTTCTTCGACACGGAGCAGCCGGCAGGTGCTGTTCACAGCAGATAGGCGGAAACAGAGCGGATCGGTTTCAGACCAAGCGGCAAGAAGCGACAAGATCTGGGAAACGGAGTATCTTACACATGCTGATACTCGTCTTACTGCTACCGCTGCTACAGCTACTTCATGTACAGCACAGCAAGGCCCGCCAAGTACGGCGATAGTGAGCAAGCCCAACACGCGTGTTCGGTGAGTTGCGGATCTTAAAAACGGGAAAGCGCCCAGGCCGGCTGGCTACCGGACCTTCTGTGTGAGTACGTTGGATTTTAAGTCGCAGAGTCAGATGAGATCCACAACAACAATTCATGGTCGGGATAGTGTCAGGAGCAGAGGAACGCACAACTTGGAACACATACAACACGGAACAGCACGGGCGGAGAGCGATTGGCTCGCGCCTTCGTCGCATCAGAACCAATCCCGTCGCCGGAATCACCTCCGGATGTGCGACAGCAATCGGTCTCTCAGACACACACACACACACAGACA